GAGCCATCTCGGGTGATTGAAGGCCATGTCGTCTGTGTTCGTGAGAGGGCCGAACTCTCGACCGTCCATATTGGGGACCGGGGGGGCAGCCCAGCATGCCGGGCGCCGCCAGTCGACGGGCCAGCAGACCTTGTCGGCGCCGAAAAAGATGTGTCGGCCGAGGGGCCCGGCTAGAGTCTCAGCCTTTTGGGGGCCGAGTTGATGGATGATGCGCTCATCCTCTTGTTCGGAAGCTTTGAAGTAGCGGTCGATCAAGACGTCGGGACCAAACTGGAGGAGAACATCATAGCCGTCGATCATAAGGAATAGATCGTCGTTGCTGGATTTGGGCAGCTCCTCGAGGTATTTAGCAACGACGCGGATCTTAGCCAGGTGAGAGAGAGCAGCATCGTTCTCCCCGGTGGCGTTCCATCCTGCGATGACGGGCGCGCCGAAGCGGTTGACGGTCGAGGAAACAAGGGCGCGACAGAATTGGAGGTTCGGAGCGCTGGCGGCGATGAGGAAGTGGAAGCGGCCGACGCCCACGGAGCCAGGTTTGCTGCTCTTGGTAGATGGTACGGAAGATTTACTTCCTGTAGGAAGAGAAGCCGAGATTTCGGACTGTGGAAGAATGTCACGTCAGTATCAGTTACGACGGTTGTCTCAGGCCCCCCCCTCCGCGAGGTGTCCGCTCGCGAGGTGTTCCGTTAGTGTTTCAGCCCAGATCGGCAGGTGTGCGCATTCCTCTCCTGAAAAGGACAAGGAGAAGAAAAGGTAAATAGGAAAAAAGCCCAGGCTGACGGACTGATTTGCGACGCGATCAAATAGCGACAAAAACTCTGAAGTGACAACGGAAAACTCACCCAGCTCAGCTTCTCTGGATAGAGGGATTGCGAAAAGATCAAGAGGCCCGAAACAATGACGAAGGCGGCCAGCAGTGCGAACCTGCGGCCTTTCAGCGCCATCAGCATGGGTGCGAGACGGGTGTCATTTAGCTGCCGGCTCGGCTTGAGATCCAGGGTGGGCGATTCCGGAGGGTTGAAGGGCGCGCAGGCAACCTAGGCGGGTGGCGTCTGATGTGGTGAGGGTGAGGCGATGCCGATGGCGAGAGTTCGGGGATCGAAAGGTGCAGTTGGGTAATATGAAAGACGGTAGCGAAGCAACGAAAAAAGCAGCAGTAATGAGAGCGAGAGAAGCAAAGAGAAACCGAAGAGAATGTACTCGCAGTCGAGAACTATCGTCGTCAAGGAGAGGGCGGGCGGGAAGAAAAATATGTCGAGGAAATCGAGTTAAAAGAAGTGACAGTGGCAAGACGCGCGTGTGGTGGCAGATGGACGGAGGAGCTTATTTCTGGGCAACTGGCCAAGTTGCCAATGCCACTTAATGTCTGCGTCTCCAGCAGCGATCAAAAGTGCGGTCGGTTAGGTTCAAGAAATCTCGTGTTCCTCTTAAGCAGGAGGTTGATTCTTCCTCTCCCGTCTTGTCTCGAAAGCGTCTAGTCTGTCTTGAACTGCAGCTCCCTTCGCGGTAAAGACAGTCGTGGGTGGGCGGCGTGCAGGTGCAAGCGTCGGCAGAGGTGACACGCGGTTCGACCGGTGTGAGCTTCACTTCAGGCTGTATCCGTATACAGCTGCCTATACTTGAGCCGCACCTGATGATTTGAATGAGGGCCGGCAGTTTGGGAGAGTCCGGGGAAGGAGGTGCAAGGAAATTGGGCAAGGGGACTCGTGATGTGGGCCGAGTATCCGTACAAGTAGGATTATTCCGCCATGATTGTGTTGAACGCACGGTGGGCTGGATAGAAAAGCGAGAAGAAGGCTGGTGGGGTATGTATTATGTCATTAGTATCCGTACCTAGCGTACAGATACTGGTTGTAAACTACCTATTCCAAGGGAGTGAGGGTCCAGGTTAGGGGTGGGGGGAGGGAAGGAAGAGGGGGAAAAAAAAAAAAAAAAAGGAGAAGGAGAACGACGCGGCGTGGAGCTAGCTACCAAAGTTAGGTAGGTAGGTATGCTGTGTGAATGATGGTAGGCGGTCCGTTTAGACAGGACGAGCAACTCTACTACTAGGTGCCCACCTACCTACCTTTCTTAGGGACCTAGGTAGGTAGGAGACGGACAATGCTGTATGGCGTAGCGTTGTAGTGCTACAAGAGGCTACCTATGGGCCATGTGGGAACATCATCCATCTGCATACGGATACATCAGTAGACGTATCCGTAATGTACATACCCGTACAGTAGGTACCTAATGTACACCCAACCTCATACCTCGGTGTCCATGAACGCATCCGCAACCCCTCAATAAGTGATGGGGTGAAAGAGTCCATGTTGACGACCAGCAAACGAGGCCGGTCCCCTGGAGAGCCAGCCTCCTGTCGCATGGCCTGGTTTCGATTTGCAACAGGATACGCGTGTGAGCATAACGTATGAAGAAAGAAGGGGGAAATAGCCTACTGGGTCCAGCGAAACTCGAAGGCACTGACTGAGCAGTGGACACATCCGTATTACAAGGATCATGGGAGCATCGGCAAGCAACGGGGGTCGCTGACGTGGACTGATTGGCACTGGCCGACCGCGCGACCCAGATGAGGGCCTGGCGGCCTTGGTGTGGTGTGCCCAAGAAACCCAAGAAATTAAAGATGCCGTGACGTCCGGCTTGGAGGCCTAGTGCCGCCGCATCGGTGAGACCCCAAGACTTGGTATGCTCGCCCCAAACAGCCCTTGCGTGCGGGTTGTCTTGCAAAGCCCCAGTACTTCCCATTGCATAGTGTCTGACGCGCCTGCTGCTTAGTAGTACTAGGTACTCCGTATTGCGTTTACCCATTGCTGTTTCTACCCTGCCGCTCTTAATTCTCTTGTGTCCTTAAGTACTGGGCGGCCTTATCTTTGATGCATTGTTTACGCTATTTAGTCGACGCACTGTCGCCTGTCGTAGGTGTAGGTGGTGTTGCCGTTAGCCGTTGGGACACGCACACCCATTAAGCTCTAGCGGGCGGTTGGCTGCTGCTAAGTGGCTGAATGTCTGAGACATGAGCATGGGCCAAGGTGCCGACCGTTGCGCCGGACACCTCGATTCGCTGCGGGATGCTCTCTCTTCTTGCGATGCGTCTCATATCACCACCACATACGCACCGCAACGTCACTTTCACACTGTATCCTCGTGGACGGATGAGAACGGATACCGTAAAAAAATATGGAGGGTTACGGTAATTACGGTGATTGCGAGCGACAGTAACATTTCCACGACGGGGGTGGTTGTGTACAGGGCAAAAATCTTACTGGCCCAACGAGAGATGAGATGCTGGTGGACTGCTTGCTGATGTAAGCGGGGTCATTAAAGTTAACAAGTTCCTTGCTTGGCAGATACGTACAGTACTTCTCCCTGTTGGATTCGCAGTTTTCACGGTTCCTCCAGCACTCCTGTCATCCCAACGCCGCGTACCACCGTCCATGCAACATGATTTCTTTTCATTTCCGCCTTGAGTCTCTGGGCCAGTTGCGTCCCTTGTCTCCAGAATTGATATCCGCATGGATGTTTTCTACCCTCCCTATTCGCTGCCTGTGTTCCTCTCCACCTCCTTGCTTCCACCGATGGTTCCGCTCCTCCTCCTCCTCCTCCTCCCCCTCCTCCCTCTCCTCTACAGGTGCCAAGGCCAAGGGAGGGAGCCGATCTCATGGCGATGCTCGCTTCAAAGACAAGTCTCGGTATTGCAACACTTGAGGCTTGTCGGCTAAGTGCTTACGGTGTTCCTCCGTGCGGCTGTAGCTCACAGACAACCGCAAGACAAGCGGGCATCGCCATGCGTGTCTCCGTTTGCCCTGCCTTACGTGGCCTTTTGAGACCTGCCAGACAATATATCTGGGATGTGAGCAGCCGCAGAAGAGAAACAAACCACCATCTGTCAATCAACCAACCAGCAGCGTCCGGTACGCGGTACGGAGACTCGGGCTATATTGTCTCTGTTTTCATAAAAGAATTAAAAGAGAAAAATACCCAAGGATAAAATCGAGAACGCCTTTGGACGCTGGCCCATGCCTAGAGCCGTGTTTGAATAAGATGAGCCAGTCAGATTGGCTCTCCTACCCACGCGCCAGGTGTGTTGGCTAGGTCACGGCCACCGTTCACTGTTCCGCCTACCAGTTTTTTCTTGTTATGCATGCGCGTTATCCGTACTTTGGAACGTAATGTATCCGTACTATGAATAGGATGACCCTGCGGGTACTACGTACATAGTAGGTAGGTATACTTGGACGGAGTGGAGTCTTAACTGTCAGGCTGGAATGATAAAGAGCTTCCAGAAAAAAAGACAAGATGCATGATCAGCTGCTGCCTCCTGTCACCAATTACGCGTACATATCCGTACCACTTGTGCCAGTGCCAGTGCCAGCGCTAGACTCCGCCTGCTTTCTCCTTCTAGGTTTCTTCAGCGCCCACTCATAAAGTAGCCCCTGGCCCGCCACAGACGTCGATCGTTGCCATCCCTTCCCTCCGCCACGATTGCATTTTGTCCGGACCACCGCTTTTGATTAACTGATCCGGTTTCGCTCCAAGCCACGCCCCTGCCATGCGGTCGCACCACGATGAATCAGGGCCCAGGCTTACGCGGCTGCGAAGGGGGTGCTCCTAGGACCCAATACCCCAAGACCCCAGGACAAGCTCACTTCAGACGCGGAGCAGACCGGGGCCGAGAGGGAGAGACGATAATTCCGCCAAACCTTCCCTACCTACCTATGTCGCGTAGGTACGGAATTTTGTCCCAGATTGACATAAACCAATATGGATTGGGTGGTAATGTCAGTAACATTAATCGTGGAAAGCTTGGCAGGCTGATTCCTTCCTCAAGCCTTGCCTCACGCCGAGTGCTGGAAGATATCGTTTTCCCCCGCCTACTTAATTGCAATACAGTTAGCAGGGAGGCCTAATCGAAGCCTGACATCCCGCTCTGCTGTATTGCCTACGTTCGTGGTATGGTGTATGTGAATTAATGTAGATCGTCACCTGTGAGTGCGACGCGAGGAGCCGATTGGCGGATGCCGTTTTGGATCTGAATTGAACAGGCGGGCAGCGGCCAGTGTACGATGCACACTCGACTCGCCCGCTGGCGGCGCAGGCAATGAAAACGCAGCAACGATACTGGAACGGTGAGCCGTCCAAAGTTTTCCGGCGTAATCTTCCAGATTCTCCCCTCACATCATGTGTGATGTGCCTTGGCAGCTTGTTTGTGTCCCAACCCGTCTCCACGTTCGGATTCTGGTCTACCGATCTCAGACTCTCTTGGCCTCCCTTACCGCGCAAGCCTACGTACGCAGTATCTGTATACCCCAAGGAAACTTGTGTCAAAAAAAAAACATGCCATGGTCCGTTTCGTTCGATAGACCCTGAAGTTCAGACAGATCTGAAGAGCCCCTTGCCTGCACACGCTGCGACTCTACGGATAGTCGGATGATGGGGGACAGATATGCCCTGCTAGGCCAGGTACGTGTGACTTTGGCCCTGCACTAGGCCGGGACGGCCACACACACCAAGACAGCAGATATTATGGAGGAACGTGAGGGACTGGGCCAAAGCAAGAGCAATAGCGATACTTCGTAGCAATGCCAACGCCACCAGCCGAAACGTCATTGACGCCAAGTGCGGAAGCGAGAAAGATGCCCGTTTGAGTATGTCGGCATCCTAGGTAGCTTTTAGTAGGTAGTAGGTACGGATACTCTTGTCATCACCCCCCGGCCCCCCGCCCCTCCGCCCCCCGTGGACCCCCCCCTTTTAGCTGTTATCCCCAGCTTGCACTCTCATATGTTCCACTCCTCACTTCCCTCTTATTCCTAGTCTTTCTTCGGCACCGCCGCCATTTCTATGTCGTCGTCCTCCATCATTAACACACACTCACACCTCACTACTCAGTCTTTTCCTACACGAGATTTTTTTTTCCTGCTCGCGTCCGCTTCCCACCCATTCCAGTCGTTCCCTTTCTCAGCACCTTCCACCCCATTCCTCCTGTTCTCGGATTTTATTCTTCCTTCTATCCGTACATTTTGACATTAGCAGACAATTGGTGTATCGCATCTAGCTAACGCCTCGCAAAGTCTGTCATCCGAAGCGCAGGGTTGGATTCTTGGCACGCTGGTTCCACTGTACAAGCGACATTTACCTTACTGGTACCTCCCAAGGACCTACCCACCACCACTCAGCCGGGGTTCCCTTTTTACTGGCTTCTTCCCACCCACTACACGGCATACAATTCTTCCATTGTTGCCTCTCGTTCATACCTATTCTATTCATCTTCTCTGCATCTTCCTCCCATCGCAAGCAGCCACATCTACCAGTCGTCGCTTGTCGGTTCGTCACTTTTTCAAGCTCGACTATATTGCGCACCTCCATCCTCCCGAACCACCCCCACGCTCGGGACCGATCTCTGTCGTGAAACTGGGACGGTCGCCAGCTTGAGCCACTAAGCGACAGGGTATCTGTGGCCGAACACGAACACACGGCCTGTAAACAAATACACTAAGAAGTCCAACCTTTGCGGCGAACGGCGGAAATCACCAAGGGAAGAAGAGAATAAAACGGCAACAATATCCAGTGCATCCAAACATCTTCAACATTCGACGTAATGGCGGAATCTAGCAACTTCAAGAACGAGGCTCGACGGAGCGAGGAGGGCCAAGGCCTCCTCAACGGCGATGAGAAGCGTATCGATGAGAGCTATGATCTCGAGGCCAACGTCAGCCCTGCCACCGATCCCCAGAGCAACGCCGAAAGGAACCGCAACCCCGTCGAATACACCATCTCGCCCCAGGTCAAGTTTGGCTGGTTGAGCGCCTACTTCATGTTCAGCTTGGTGCTGACCCTATACAACAAGCTGATCCTTGGAGCTGTACGTTGCCTGCCCGTTCCCCCGAGTTGTTATCCCCAAATCCTGGTCTAGTTTCTAGGCCCTCGTGGCGGCAGGGTGATGACTTGCCATCTCCAAAGAGCAATCACTAACACCATCTTCAGTTCCCCTTCCCGTGGCTCCTCACTTCGCTTCACGCCACCTGTGCGAGTTTGGGCTGCTACATGCTGATGCAATGCGGTTACTTCACCATGTCTCACTTAGGCCGCCGCGAGAACCTCATTCTCCTTGCCTTCAGTCTGCTCTTCACCACCAACATCGCCGTCTCCAACCTGTCACTGTAAGCAGCCAACCAACCCCCTTGCAATCTCGGGATATCCAACGCCACTCTCGCTGCAGATTCCCGCCCATGACTCCCGTTGCGGGATGAGGCGGGACGGGACTCGGACGGGACTCGAACTGGAGAATGAATATCATGCTAACCCACCGTGCAGCGCCATGGTATCCGTGCCGTTCTATCAGGTCCTGCGAACGACAGTGCCCGTCTTCACCGTTCTCATCTACCGCGTCGTTTTCGGCCGCACCTATGAGAACATGACATACCTGACGCTCGTGCCCATCATGATCGGCGCTGCCCTGACGACTATTGGCGAGTACACTTTCACTGACCTGGGCTTTCTGCTCACCTTTGCGGGCGTTGTGCTTGCCGCAATCAAGGTGCGTAACTATGCGCATGCCGCGTGTCCCATCTATCATCCGAAATGCATGTTTGGGTTGCGGGAAGTGGTGCCGAATATCCGGTTGGGTTTATGTGGCTCCGCTCTCTGGAACCCGTCCAGCAAACCTTTATCCCAGTTCCAGCACGTTTGTCCCATGCCGATGAAGTTGCTGACCAACACAACAACAGACGGTCGCCACAAACCGCATCATGACCGGCCCTCTCGCCCTCCCTGCGATGGAGGTTCTGCTGCGTATGTCGCCCTTTGCGGCCATGCAGTCCCTGGCCTGCGCCATCGCCGCCGGCGAGCTCGGAAACCTCAACACCATGCGGGCGGAGGGCAACATTAGTCTTGCCACCGTCATCGCCCTCCTCGGCAACGGCATCCTCGCTTTCGCCCTCAACGTTGCCTCTTTCCAGACGAACAAGGTCGCCGGAGCTCTCACAATGAGCATCTGCGGTAACTTGAAGCAGTGTCTCACTGTCGGACTTGGCATCGTTGCCTTCGGTGTCGAGGTCCACCTATTCAACGGCTCCGGCATGATCCTCACCATGATTGGTGCCGCTTGGTACAGCAAGGTCGAACTCGATCGCAGATCCCGCAAATGAACGACTCACATCGACTGGCAAACTGCGCACCAAGGCGCATGTAACGAATATCAGTAACGGCCGAAAATCATAGAACGGGGGTCCAGACACGTCTGGGCCAGCTTGTGAGGGCAAGGGTACGTGGCGTCTGGTTGATAAAACAATGGGAATGCGGAAGACTTCTAGCCGCAAAGCCACAGACCGGCGGCGATGGCTGCTGGCAATTGGGTAAATAGGGCAGAAGCGGTGGAAGACGAGCTTATGCCGTTTGCCACCCCCGCGACGATGTTGCCGGCCGCTGTGCCGCCCCTCTTCAGTTAGAGATGGCGCCGCGTGTAAGATTGGGGGAAGTTCACAAAGCATGCATGCGCTACCAAAGGGTCGCGCATCGATTTTATACCCTTTGCATGGAGTAACGGAAACGGGCATAAACATGGGATATATTCATTTTTATTTTTCTTGTTCTTCTTTCTCAACAGGCCGAGAAAGCTTTATTTGTCTTTAGCCCTGCTTTCTTCGCCTTTAGATTTCAAGACGGGGGATAATACATTTACCGTACAGAACCAGCCTTTGCGTTTTTCCCTGCCTTCGCATTTCGCAAATTTACCCATTTACACGGTGTTTACCACGCCTAGCCATCATGGCCGCCTCTGGCGCCCGGCGTAGCCATCACCAAACCCGACTGGGCGGCTTATGATGACTAGTCATCTGCAAGACACCACCCCACGCGGGCGCGTCTCGTGGTGGTGGTGGTGTGGTGTATGTAGTCGGCCGAGGGGGTTAAGGGTGGGTTGTTTCCCCTCACCTGCCATTCCACCGACCTGCTGCAGACTACTACGCTGCTGACCGGCCTGATTGCAAGGCCTGCTGATGGCGCCGTCATGTGAACCTAAATCGGGCCGTCCGGTTTTTTCTTCACGCAGGCTGCGGCTGATAAGGGACCGACAACTTTATCTCTCTTCCTCCTCCCCCTCGCCCGCATCCCGGACGAGAGTCGGATCGAATCGCTCCTCCTCACCATGGCAAGTCGGCACACGGTTCTTAATCAACGATGACCGTCGGCATGAACAATCTCGGCGGACAGATGGCGGGCGAGCTGGGCGCGGGTGCCGCCGCCGACGACGACGTGACGTACACCAGCACCGGCACTGGCTCGCAGCCCGGCCCCGACACATGTTCGGCGTCGGAAGCGGGCGGCGGAGGAAACGACGACAAGGTGGCGGCGTTCCTGGCGCGGTGCGGGCTAAGAGCCTCGGCCGTCGCCGCGGCGCACGACTTCGCGAGGACCAAGTTCCCGGGATGCGAGGTCGCACCGGCGCCGTTCCAGGGGTACTGCTCGTACACGCTGCTCCTTTCGCCGCGGACACCCGGCGGTAGACGGCGGGACAGCGGGGTCGACGCCGGTGACCGAAGCGGCGGCGGCGGCGGCAGCAGCAGCAGCAGCAGCAGCAGCGAAAGCTCGGACACTAGCGGGGAAAAGAACGTTCCAGCTGGCGGCGAGAGGGGGGATAACTTGCTGGTGCAGTTTCGGCCGAGGCGGCACGCCATCGACGCCGGGATGTGCGCGGAAGCAAGGGGCGTTCTCGGCGGCGGGATCGTGCCGGGTGTCGAGGACCTGGGCGTGCTCACGGGGCTGGAGACGGCGGGCGCAGAGACAGGGGGCGGCGACGATGCGCTGTGCGTGTATGGGTTGGAACGAGCCGGCGGGGTCTCGCTGACGCGGTTCCGGGGGTTGTCGGCAGCGTCGGGGACGGATCCGCGGGCGTGCAGGAGGCGGGTCGTGGCGGACCTGGCCGTCGTGTTCGCGGCTGCCTGGCGAGGCCGGCGGGACGGGCGAGACGTCGTCAAGGGGAAGGTCGGCAGGAGCCTGCGGTGGAGGCTGGAGGTCCTGGTGGAGGGCCTCACGGGGGAGCTCCGGGAGGTCGCGAGGCGGGTGATGGGGGAGCTGGCGGAGGTGGAGGGGTCGCTGCCGTGGGTCGTCACGCACGGGGACCTGGTGCCGGACAACATCCTGGTCCACCCGCCACCATGGGGAGAGGGCGACGGCGCGGGCGGGAGGCGGCGGAAGGAGATGCAGGAGAGGGCGGGCGGGCTGGTCGGGCTGATCGATTGGGCCGAGGTGGAGTGGCTGCCGTTCGGGGTGGGCATGTACGGTCTCGAGGAGGTGCTGGGGGAAGACGTGTTGGTCGAGAACGACGATAGCCACGGCACCGACACCGGCGGCGGAGCGGGCACGACGAGGTTCGAGTACTACCCGGAGGCGGGCGCCCTCCGAAGCCTCTTCTGGGACGAGGTCGGTCGGGTCGTGGGCGACGAGGAGGTGATACGCCGGGCGCGGCTGGCGCAGGTCCTCGGGGTGCTGCTGTGGCGGGGCATCGCGTTCGACGACGGCGCGCTGGAGAGGGTCGTGGACGGGGAGAGGGACTGGTGGGACATGCAGAGGCTGAACGCCTGGCTGTTTGGGGAAAGGGGGCTCCGACTCGGGGGCGGCAGGGAGTTGGGAGAGGAGGAGGAGGAGGAGGAGGAGGAGGAGGAGGAGCAGATGGTGGTGGTGGAGAAGGGCGGAAAGCGGAGGTGGTTGAGAATGGTCTGGCGGTTGACGACAACTTGTTTCAAGGCTTTGTAGGGCATAGGATGGGGGAGAGACCTCGTGGTTGTTCGAGTGTATGTCAGACCTAGAGGCTACGGATGGTACAAGAAGATGGATGCCGGGTCGGGAACGCCCCAACGCTGTGGTAGAAGCGCGTTGCGGTCCGACCCAGCTGGAAGCTAATATAAATTCACTTGGAATGATCTGACCAGACGTCCTTCATCCCGCCACGAGAGAGAAATACTGTCGCAAGATTCAAGACGTCAATCGCTGCCCGCAATTGACAGCGTTTTCTTTTGTGACACATACACAGTGGAAAACAACGAGCGTCCGCCTGCAGGCCAACTTTGGAAGTTCGTCCTGACCAAGGCGCGTCAGACGGTCTTCCTGACGACGTTCCAAGGCGTCCCGTCCCGTCTTTAGTGACAGGGACGCAGGGTCGCCCGGAGAGGGCCATCCCAGTCCAAGGCTTCGACAGTGCTCGCATTCCTCTCCTCTTGTTCAACTGACGTCATCGGAATAGTTTTGTGCTATGAGACCGGACGAAAGCCAGACGAAGGTTGCGCACCATTTAGTCCGCAGCCGCGGAAGACAAGCGGAAGAAGGATGGGATGAGGTTGAGGTTGCGCGGGGTGAACAGGCCGATGCACAGTGTACCGGACTCCGCATGGACGTCAAATAAGAGTAAGGTAAGGTAGGTGCGTCGATGCACAGACACAAGGGCCCACACGCCATTTACCGCAACACGAGGTGCGGCAGATGTCACTGGTCTGTTAGACTTGGAGAGACAATTGAAGAATCGACGATGAAAGACAGCGGGCGCGGGGCTGGCGAGGCAGTCACGGTTGGGGGAAACCTGGGCATGTATGTTCTCCCCGGGAGGCGCCAATACATCCGCTAGGGCGGTTGGGATCTATCTGGAGGGGAGCGGGACGGGAAACGCTGTCCCTCACTAACAGCAGTCTTGGATCATCTCATCCCACCATCCCTACCTACGGTCCTATGCTAGCACATCCCCCGCAATGTTCATCGCCTTACAACTCATCATGTGCATATACGTGTGCGTGTGAGTGGGTGGTGTGCTCTTAATCGAGGTTCGTATAAGCAATTCGAGCATGTCTTCATTCAGGTATGCAAGACGCATGGCTAGGGGCCTCCGTATACTAGAGTCGGCTTGCATGCGGCTGCATCAGGCTGCTCATGAGTAGTCTAGGGAGACAACTCAGTGCTTGCAAACCATATATTGTTGTCCTACATAGGTAGATGGTACCTTCGCTACGTAGGTACCTAGGTAGATACATGGCTTGCGGCCCAGACATGCCGGTACCGTTGTGGGAAGAAGTATGTAGCTGCACTGTTGAGAGGGCAACCGCCAGCCCATCCCAGCCTCTCCTTCCCTACACGTGTACCTCTACTTCCTTTCTACCAAAGGGATTCATTCCCCCCCCAAACATGTTTCGATGGACCATCGTCCTTCGTCGTCGTCTTCTTGCTCTGTCTCGTCACTTCTCACCTGCTTGCTCCATTCTCGGTTCCAACTTTCCTTCCTCATTCTCCCCGCGTAACCCTCTCCCGCCAACACACACCGACATGCATCGGATGTGAGCGCCACCCACCTCCCTCTCGCCCATCAACCCCTTGCCATTTTGTCCTCAATGTCATCCTCTGCATGCGTCTTGCAGTCAGTGCCTGGTCCAGAGGGAGATCTAGTTCCGTCTCGACATCCACCACAACCACGGGGATGATCGATCAGACGGCGTTGAGGTATTAGTCGCCCGTCCCCCGTTGGCTGACTGTCAGCTTCCATCCAGCTCCTAATGGCGCCACCACGACGCAGCTTATTCGCACACCCCCCTGCAAGAAAGAGACTTTATGCTTTGATGCATGCAATGCCTGATCCGTTGGTCATCGCTTCGGTTTTTCTATGTTCAGTTCGGAGATCCCTCACTTATTAGTCACATCCACCGACTCGAGACCAAACAACCCTTCCGAAGGCGGCACAGCGCCTCCTCTGCCTACCAAGTTCCATCGCAAAGCCGCCGCCGCCGACTTGGGGCAACTTCATGGTGGCCGAGATTATTAGCTTCTCGAGGGAGTGCTCCGCAGGGAAAACAGTGGACCACTTTGGCAATCTATGGGTAGGCTCGCAACGGCGGCGCTTCTGATCTTTGCCGAGCTTTTGTCGTTCGCTCACGAACATGTCAGACTCGCCGACAACACGCGGCCCCTTTTCTTGGCCATTATTCGAGCAGTGGGCACTGGCTCAGTTATAGAAATCGGCTGCATCCTTTTGCCTAGCCCTCGTAACCGATTTGACCCCGCCGTGAGAGCTGTACGAGGTATGAGGCACTTCCCCACGGTCTGTTTGTTCCAACGCTTATTCTCTTGGGTTTGCCCGGCGCCGGCTTGGTTACCACAGTCTCCCGCCTCTTCAACTCGGCGCCCGCCCCGCCAAAAACAAGTTTTGTGCCTCGCTTGCCGCTGGCCTCAGGGCCTGGTTGGATGCCTTCCTGTACGCCAATGGCCTAGACTACAAGTCCAGCGCATGTCGTGGTTGGACTTTTCCTGCAAGCCGTAGATCCTGGGCCTTGTGCTACGGCCTGGACACGAGCCCTCCTGGGTGCACAACGAACACACAACCTTTGTGTCACGAGAGAGACTTGTGCGCCAATTTAGCCCGCTTAGTCCCGGCTCTTGCCAGTGAAGCTCAGTCGACACAGATGCGGCTAGGAAACAACTGACAGCTTAAGCCCTCCCACTACCAGAAACATGAAGCCGCCACGGCTTATTGGTGTTCGACTTTGTTCCAACTCCCGTGTCCTACTCGTGATGAAGATATGGCGTGCTCGACGTCCACGACTGCAGCGCAGAAGACCACAATAAGGAGGCTCTTGATCGCCAGCGAACACAGTTGTCACCCCGCGGGCTGCAGTGCTGCCTTGCTCGCTTCTCGGGCACCCAGTCAGACGGGATTGACAAAAAGTCTCCGAAGACAACCATTCTGTCGACCTCAAGGCCTTACTTGGCGACATCATTGACCAGGATAGAAGGGTATGTCTGGCCTTTCAGAAAGCTGCCATGCCGTCCCTCTCTAGTCAACCTGTGCTCGCATTCTTATTCGTCTCTTAGCCGCATCCGCACTATGTACACTGGATGGCGTGTGCCTTATCTTCAGGCTCGAACCAAGTAGTGACGTTTGTTACAGCGCGGCCATGCGGCAGAGACTGGGCTTTCATCTGCTCACGCCACGGGCTTGTTCAACAACAGCGACATTAACCATCCTGGCTGGCTCATCCTCCAGCCACCCCTGAATTCCATGCCTCTTCCATCTGCTGTGGGGCATCTCCAAGAATCGTTATTTCTCGTATCACCGCTTGGCGTTCACTTCCCAGTCTCCCCAGTCTTCCTATCTTCCCGTGCATTCATCCAATGACCAAACTATGGCCCGCCTACCGTCCACTTGGCCGGAAACTACTGCAGTCCTACTGTGGAGATCATTGAGCTCTGATGGTTCACCGGCAAGATGTCATCACAACCTCCGCTTTTTGCGTTCTTGTCTCATCTGCACAGATGCGGGCAGACCAGGAAGGTCAACCGTCTGTCTGAGGACTTGGGATATAAGCTCACTAGTCATCCCGTCTTCTTCAAAAATTCTCTCTCGTTCCCCATCCTCTTGCAGCTTGTCACAAACTCTCTCCATAACCCAGCTGAACCCTCTCTCGTATCCCTGAGCTATCACGTAACTCGTTCGTTAAGGTTACTCAAGAGACACTCGCACAGCCAAAGCCCTAGTTTCATCCACCCGTCGTTTCCAAGAATATCTCTCGTTGATTGCTTTGAACACCCATCCACCCGCAACCATGCAGTTCATAACCGCTCTCTTGGCTCTTGCCGCCACCGCCCTCGCTACCGAGGACCACGACCACGGCAAAGACAAGACGAAGACCATCGTGACAGAAGTCTTGACCACCTACACTACCGTTTGCCCAGTCACCGTCACCAAGCCCGGCCACGGCACTACCCATTACGAGATCGTCACTACGACCTCCACTGTAGTTGAGAAGGTCCCAACCACCGTTTACGAGACTCTACCTGGACACACCGACTACGTCACGAAGACTGAAGTCGACTACACCACCTACACGAGCCTATGCCCTGTCGTAAGCACCGATCCGGAAGCCAAGGCAAGCTGCCATAAACAAGACTGACCTCCTTCCAGACGGAGACCGTGACTGGCGATGGGCACACCTACACCAAGACCTACACAACGATCAGTACGATCGTCGAGAAGGTTCCCACCAAGGTCTGGGAGACCGTCCCGGGCCCGACGGTGATTGAGAAGACCAAGGAGATCGATTACACGACCATCACCAAGCTCATCCCTCATGTAGGCCAAGGCACGTTCCGAGCCCCTTTGCAGCCTTCTAATACTCTTGATAGACAGAGACTTTGACCCAGGACGGACATACCATCACCCAGACGTACACCGAGACCCAGACCGTGGTCACAAAGGTGCCGACCAAGGTCTGGGAGACCATCAGTCTCCCCGACGTCACCAAGACTGAGAAGGATGTCGAGTACACGACCCTGACCAGCCTCTGTCCTATCACCGAAACCAAGACTGTCGGCGGAGAGACGGTTGTCGTCACGTGGATCTCCACGTCAACCATAGTGATACAAGTTCCCACCAAGGTCGACGTGTACACCACTGTCAAGACCACTCAGCACCTCTCCACGGAGGTATACGAGACCGTCACGAAGCCGGTCACCACGTACCAGACGATCGAGCACGGAGAGACTCACTGGGTGACGGCTACCGGAACCAAGACTATCACCCTTGAGAAGGTGCACACCATCACGGAAGTCCTGGTCGAGACCAAGACGCAGCACGTCGAGGTCACCCAGGCGGTCACCGTCGGGGCCGAGGACGTTGTGACCCAGAAGTCCTGGGTCTACATCACCGTTTCTGGCACAGTTTACGCGACACAGACAAGAGCGCTCAACACCGTCGTCGTGCCCACGACGAGTGCGGTGACGGTTCCTGTCACCACCGTGTCGACCGCTGTCGTCGCAAGCACCGCTCCTGTGGTCGTCCCGCCCAATGCCGCGGCCGCCCGCAAGGCGCCGGCTGTTGCCGTCTTTGCCGGCATCTTGGGTGCTATTGCGCTCCTCTAAGCATTCGAATTATACGTCACAGACCGTTTGCTTTCCGCTCCTTTCAATCTCTATGCTTTGGCCTCTCACTAGCCCTCATCTAAATTTCTTCCCTTTGGCCTGTTGGCGGGAGTGTCCGGCTCTAATGAGTGGACTTTCTCCGCATGGCTTGTACGACAAGCTCAAGTCTACGACGGTATGGATATAACAATATACCTAACGACACTCCTTGACGAACAAGTGGAAAATAAGAGACGCACGGAAGTTACACAAGGCAGCAGAAACTTTTGGATAGCGCTTGTCAAGTCGAATAGGGATGGTTCGTTCAGTTTTGATGGATTTATTCATTGCTCCGGGCGCAGCGGGCGGTCGCGGCGGACACTCACGTAGGGGGAGGAAAATAATGCAAATTGCATTCTCGCAAGAAAAGCATGACAGCACAGCACTTTTTCGTCGCCTAAAATATTTAACTAGCCAGAATCGGTCTACTGTGCGCTGCCCAGATTGCGTGCGTTGTGTGTGTGTTGGCCGGCGGCGGGAGCGATGCAACCTCGTGTCGAAGTGCTGATGCGACGTTGGCTCTTGGCCGGCTCGTTTGCGGCTGGGTGGGGAAAGCGGAAGTACCTGCTCAAGCACTCAAGAGCTCGAGGATTGAACGGGCGAAGGAGTCGGGTGTGGTGGGCAGCATCAAACATTGCTCCCGCCTGGGAGGGGGGGCTCGCCAACAGTTCCTTTCGCCCTGCCCTGCCCGACGTGGAAGGGGTCAGACCGGCGAAGAATGTGGCGCGACTACCTATCTAGCTGTGTACGGGGAGCTGTCGGGGCGAGGGGGGCTAGACTGCCCTCTTGGTAGAAGTTATGGGGTTGGCGGCGGTGTGTGTCCCCGTCTGAAGCCGGGCAGAATCCCGCAAAAGTGGGACCCATCGACGTCTGTGTCGCCGAAAACCCGGGAATGTGGGGACCCGCTGTTAGACATCATCGTCCGGCTGCCGTCCCGGTCGAGCGAGAGTTCCGAATGAACAATAAGGACCGAAGGACCGTTACCTTCGTCGAGGAGACACGAGGGACCTAGAAGGTGGAGGCCGAAACACCGGGTCCCCTAACTCTGCTTCCACCGTCAGCCGAAACGACGATGCGGGTCCGCACTCTGCAGTATGCCGACTGCTGAACTCCCAGATCATCAGGCTTGCCTCGAGGTGCCTTCTTCCCCCAACGGCAGTTAAATCCACAAAACTTACGTGCCACTTACGTGCCACGGTAAGCCGGGATGCTTGATCTTGGATCTTGACTGGGTGGCCAACCGAGATGACTGCCAGGCTGTTGCTGACGTTATCAATGGCCCGCCTCAGTTCCTTTCGGGCGGTGTGCTTCTTCCCCCGAGAAGATATAAAGCTCGAGGTGTCGATTTTATTTGCACCTTTAGGTGGCGAGCTTATAGTGTTAGTAGGCCTTAGTACTGCTATAATGTCCCCAGCTAGGTAAAGTCACAGTATCGGTATTGGTGACATCTCACGTTACATAAAGAAGACCGAAACGGAAGAAGGGAGTTGTACAGTAATGTAGATAGCAGGTTGCTGGAGGGCCCTCAGCGTCATAGTTGTGCTGAATCCGATGGCTGTTAATTCCAATAGTAGGCTTACCAACCTTGGGCGACTTTGTGATGTCGACAGGCTGGGTGCTGTAAATGTTACCCGTATTGGTGTTTGGAATGACACGAGATCTCACGAACTTGATATTTCCTCGGTGAGTGCAGCTACTAAGACCACCGTTTTCCCCTTTATTAAGTGCTGCAAGTAAGGTGGCTAAGTAATAGCCTAGGCATCTTCACTGCCTTCAACTTGCATGGCAATGGGATCGCATGAGCGCCACAGATACCAGCTGGCTTCAAGAGCCTACTGTCAACTTCGATTCAAGTAATGATTGTTAGCTTTCCAACTGCAATGAGAGTTTTAGTGACTCCGGAGCTGAGCGACAATATCAATGGCCTTGAATCCTGGAGCAAAGCACCGAAGGCGGCAGTACGTGCCCTCTTAGGATCTCTACGAGCTCTAAAATCTAACGTTTTTGGATATGCATAAAATATTGTTGCAGCCTCTTCAAGAGCTTTTTAAAACACCAACGAACAGAACATATCCTCATCATCATGACTCTCGAGACCCTTGCTGCCAGTGCCTTTGGAGCATGAGGTTGATTTCATCCCACTTTTGCCATCTATAGAGATGTATCAATCCAAGCCAGACCCTGCAACAACTATTCGTCTTACGATTGACCTGGATGGCAACTTCGAATGATAGAGTCCACATCCTCGATAGCCAATGGCCGAATGCCGGCCAGCATCTTGATCTTCTCGGTTCTAAAATGCGATGTCAGTAAGCATGCTGATGCGCGCGACAAAGACCCTATCAAAGCACAGTAGCACTTACACAACTTTAACTTGATCGTCTGGCATGTCCAGGCCAAGTTGGCTCACGCGAGTCTTGACCGCATACCAGCCCGTAAGTCTTGACTCGAAGTGGACGTATCGCGTGATCCCAAAAGTCTTCGGGATTGATGATCTCATAGTTACTGGGGTGGCCCAAGACTCCCATGGCGTGAATACCAGACTTGTGTGTAAAGGCACAGAATCCAGTGATCGGGTTGTTGAAAGGGGTGTTGATCTGCACAGCCTCGGCGACCATGTCTTCCAATTCCCTAATCAAGTGTAGATTGTACTTGCCGGTGACATATTCGCGGTTCTCGACAACCATGCGCGCCATGAAACCGCCGAGGGGCGTGATGCCGTTGCGCTCGCCGATGCCGAGGACTGTGACGTCGATGTGGGTGGCGCCAGCTTCGAGGGCGGTGTAGGCGTTCGCGGTGGCGCAGCCGGTGTCATCATGGAAATGGGTTTCGATATCACAAGCTGGTCTGAAAACGAGACGTTAAAAAAAAAACCCCTCCGTTTGGCTTATTTGTGACATAATCCTTTTTTTGTTGATGTTAATATGGGGAAACTGGTGTCTAGGGCGATGACTCACAGACAACGTCTCGAAGGGTATGTATCAGATCGTAGACCTGACGCGGGTTGGCGCAACCAATGGTGTCTGCAACTCCCACGCGATTGACCCCAATTGTGTCCACGGCCTTGTAGACGGAAAGGATGTCGACGAGATTGGATCGGAAGGAGTCTTCGGTGAAAAATCCGACCTCGAGGCCCCGACACTTGACGTACTCGATGACTTCGATCGCTGCCTTGATGATTTGGGCAACATCCTTGCCGTGAGAATGTTGGCGAAGAAGAGCCGACGTTCCCATCATGGTGTTTCTGCATTAAGCGCTCAGTCTCTGCTGCCGATGCCAGGAAATTGACTGTGGGGTTGCCTTACACTCCGTCAACACCGCATTCTACGGCTACTCGTACATTATCCATGTGGCATCGCAATTAGTCATGTTGGGTGGGCAAGACAAGGCAATGGATGCTGTTGATATATACTCGGGACACTAAGCAAGCAGCTAATAACGGCCAAGGGGATGGTGGCTTGTTGCATCCCGACGTCCTGCAAACTAACAGCCAGGCTACCCCTCTCGGCCCCCTCGGAGTGAGTGTGGAGGAAACGGTCGGTTCCGATTGGCTAGAATGCCAAGTTTCTAGCGTACTAGTACTGCCTGCCCGCCAGCCAGCGTGGCTTGTGGGTACGTACCTACCTACATCCTGGAAGTATTCCCACCTACCTAGGTAGATAGGCAGGCGGCAAGCTGATAGCCCCTTTTTCCTTGTCTTCTTACCTGCGTTGTACGTTGTTGCTTCGGTTCATCTCCTCGACGACCTCCAACCTGAATCACCTCCAACCAGAATCGACGTCTTTCTTGGCTCAAGCGGCGCCGACGAATGAGCGAGCCTGTCAACGTAAGCGTTTGCGCAGCTGCGCAGCCTGCCACGCAACTCCTCCTCATCGCAGACGCGGGCGAAAGTAAACAGCCAACACGAACGAAAAGATGACTCAACGAATAACAAGGCTTGATGCCTTAAGTCTGTTGCACTGTCTAGCCAACTTGGTAAATGAAGCTTGACCTTTGGCTGGACAGCCGCCTAGCAAGAGTAAGTAAGCACTCGGGGTGCTTGGTCCTAAGGGCAGCGGTCGTGGCTAACAACAGGTGTAGCATCTTCTTTCTCCTATTTAGCCTAAACAGGTACCGCCTACACTTCGCACACAGTAGGAACACTACACTACAAGGCAGGCTTACTTTACATCTTGCATATGTACTCCTTTTTTAGGGCAGGTTAATAATAGCACTTGTCTTATTCCTAGTTAACCTTATCCTCCTCCTTTCTTCTTCTTCTGCTTCTTCCTCCTTCTCTTCTTGCATTTGGTCTTATATCTAAAAGGTCAAAGCGAAACCGGAATTGCCCCTTCAAGAGTCCGACCTCTGACTGACTGACTGACTGACTGGCTTACTACCTTCACGTCTCACCGGTATGGCAGGAAGCGGAGTGCCTAGTAAGCCATCCGGAATTCTCCTATCCTATCTAGCTATGTCTTTGGTGCTTTAATGACGGAAGACACAACGTACAATAAGAATCTGCTAACGCATCACCCTCCTAGTCCTAGGCAGCCTCTATGTTTATGCACCTAATCAGCCAGCAGCAATTTTCTTTACTGTTGCCTACGCCATTACCGCTGCTGTCCACATTTGGCAGTGCTAGTAAGCAACCCAGCGTGACCCCGAGTCGCTATATGACCACCATCTCTGACCCGAGAGTTCCCGCCAGCCGCTTCAAGTCTTGGGGACTGCTTGGCTTGCATCCTGTATGCGCGACACTGTTTACTCTCGGATACGGCCTTCGCGTGTGGGGAGCCAACAACTACATGTATATCTCCACCGACAAGACGCCGCTGGCTGTATTCATCGCAAGCCAGATATGCATCTTCGTTGGCCCGTACGTCTCTCGCCATTTGCCTCCGTATCTTCTTCACAAACCTCACCGTTGCTGCCTATAGTCCTTTCCTCGAGCTCGCCAACTACCACGTTCTCGGCCGAGTCTTCCAATATGTCCCCTATGCCTCTCCGTTCAACCCTGGCAGAGTCACCGCCTTCTTCGGCGGGCTTATGGCCCTTGTTGAGGGTCTTAATGCCGCTGGCATCTCCTTGTCCGCCAACGCTAACGCAAAGGAGTCGCCTAAGAAAGCTGGCCACAACCTCATCCTTGTTGCCCTTACCCTCCAGGTTGTCGTTATTTTCGCCTTTGCCTATCTCTCTGTCGCCTTCCACCGCCGGCTCGTCAGGGCTCGCATACCTGCACAGGCCAACCTCGTCAAGTCCACCCTGACGACGCTCTACCTCAGCATGACTCTCATCTTTGTCCGCTGCATATACCGCCTTGTAGAAAACTCGTTAGGAACCACAAGCGTGGATCTCAGCGACATGGAAGCTTTGCTAAAGATGAGCCCTATTCTACGCTACGAATCGTACTTTTACATCTTCGAGGCAAGCCTTATGCTCGTCAACTCCGTCTTGTGGAACGCGCGCCACCCGGGCCCCCATCTCCCCCGGAACACTCACATCTACCTAGCACAGGACGGATCAGAAGTCGAGAGGGATGACGACGGCAGCGACCGACGGCCTCCGCTGCTCACGATGGCTAACACTCTTATGTTTGGCTTGCTTATCCGGGACGATAAACGCCATTCATACGGACGGCAGTCTCACGAGCTCCACCAGGGCACAGCCAGCGATACCCGTGCCAAGCCTACATTCGGGAATGGGTAACAGACCTCTTGGCTTGTTGGGCCGCTTTATTGTTGGATATCACGCACTCGGCCGCGGCAGCTGCCTACTCACATAACTTGCGCTGTCGCTGTACTATACTTGAGCTCTCTGTCATTGTATGCCGCTATCAGAATGGGGGTCGTTTTTTCTTCCTTCCCCCCCCCCCCCCCCCCCCCCCCCTCCTTCCTTTTCCTATTTTGCTTTAATACTAGCAGAAAGAAATCCTAGGAGGAAATATGCTGCTCCGCAGGCAGGCCGGTTAAAGGACATACAAAACTTATTTAGATGAAAAGACTTGTGATGATAGCCACCATAGAACGTTTCCCCTAACTATTCGGTTTGAGCTTCCGATATCCAAGTGTTATTCATCCACTAGACTAGAGAAAGGCGTTAATAATCCGACGCGTGGACACCGCAGGTGTCATCCTTGTTACAACACCAGCCGTACACGACGTTGCAGGTGTAGCCGTTCTCGCCACCGCACGTGCCGTCGGGCGTATTCTCCCTCGTCCATTCAGGCGGTCTCGGTTCGAAGTCGCGAATGGTGCAGTTGCCGGAGAAGCACACGGAGGTGCCGCAGAAGTCGTCGCCGGTGCCGCAGGCGCCGTCCAGGTTGCAGCAGTCGCCCCACTTGCCGGCGCACAGCCGGAGGCCGTGGTCCGGGCCGCAGGTGCCGTCTGTGCTGTACACCCTATCGCCGGCGCAGGCGCCTTCGTAGCAGGTGCCGGCGGATGAATTATAAGACCGCATAATGAGTGATGGATACTGATAACATGGGAAAGTTTAAAGCAGTAGTGAAGGCGTACCGTGCACCCTAGTTATTGGTTTTTTTTGTTTTTATAACTGCTTAATATTTTTGCAATTGTCTAAGTATGTTTGCCCTTTAACGCGTCTACCTTGGTCCCGACGCTGCTTGAAGCAAAGAGATATTACGATTCAATGAAAGGAGGCCCTGTTCATGCTGGCACTTGCTTAATGTCGTACTCATAGTTGAACCCTGCCTGGCATTGCATTGAGCGGACTGTATAGTCTGGACGCTCATGCTCTTTGCCACATACCGTGGATAACAGATCCCTATTAGTCATCACAAGTGTTGCGAACATGTAATTATTTAACTTTCAACATAACAAAAGACTTGTTAGTTGAGAAAGATTCAAGCACATGACCAGTAATCACAGCACAAATCAAGAACAGTCACAGCGTTTACCATCGCATGCGCACGCACCGGTAGCCAAATAAGCATAGTCATGTCTTCAGCAATCTTATTAGTCGTAATAATTGATATTCCGAACGATCAGCCAAATGACTGTTGCCTCCAATCCTTTCTCAACAACCCCAATCATAGAAAAAAAAGGCCATCAAACGCTCTAGTTGGGCCAGGGCTGGCCGCCGGGGTACCAGTCCTGGTTGCCGCAGCGGGCGGGGAAGCCGGGGTTGCTAGGGGGGACGCTGCCGAAGGTGCAGCGGCCGTCGCAACATTGCTCATGGCGCTCGCAAGGCGTGGACCAGGGAAGGCATTGCTGGCGAACTTCGAGGGGAGCTACGGGTGAGTTAGTCCCTGTAGATAAATGGTTCCGGTTTCAAAAATGGACAAGTGCACTACTACTTACGAGTTGTGCTGGGGGCGGCGCTAACGGCGGCGACCATGGCCGTGGCGATGATGGCGAGGGAGAATTTCATCGTGATGGAATGTGAAAGGATATGTTATTATTGAAATGGCACGTAGAGTTGAGATGTTGAAGCGCTGGAGTGGTGGATGAGGGATAAGACGACTTGCTCAATGGAACTGGAGAGCAACGATGCTATTTATGTTATAGACGATTATCGATCTTCGCAGACTGAGTCCAAAAGGTCAAAGTCCGAGTCGGTGACCGAGCCTGAGAAAGCAGGAATATTTGTTTCTTGGCGATGGATACCGCTTCGATGGCATGTCACCTGCGTGATAGTGTTGCTTTCCATCGGCAATGTTTCCCTCTGAAGCTAAGATGACAGGGACGGGCAAGGCGCGCAGTTAAGCGTACCAATTCATCACATTGATACCTTCCGCAACGAGACGAAGCCTCCGGCCCAGTATACCCCGCAAGAACAGCCAGTCACGAGCCAGTTAGACTACTACGTACTGCTGTAACCCCGGCACGCGCCTTACAAGAAAAAGCGCACACTTCAGAGCCTACTACCATAGAGACTATTAGTCCACCTATTTTACAGCTACCATATGAGAATCACGAAATCAAAAATTCTCCCATAGATTAATAATAAATAAACACTGGCTTTTTGCACTTCTAATGGCCATTTTTCTTTTGTATTAAATATGCGTAAGTATTGTGTATACGTTATTGCTATTAGCCCCTTGTCTTAGTACGCTGAAGTGGGCGCTTTTTTCTGCAACCCGTGTGCCAATCACCTTCTATAAGCGACCCTTAATCCGCATATTACCTACCACCATTACCTCCCGGCCAAGTCCGTGGTGGCATGCTTAAGGCCGGGTTTCCTACTCTGGAGGAGCCTTGGTTGGCCACCTTGGTACAGCACGTACTCATATCCCGCAATAGGAAGGGAGTGCATTCAACAGTACGCATCCGGTATGTAGTACTATTTACCCCAAGATGTAGCGTCTGCTTCATACGGGTGTACTGTACCCATCTCGCATAATTAATTGTCTAAACGGACCGTTAATTTCCCACTCTCCACCCTTCCTGTCCTGTCTGTGGTAAATGGAAGTACTTGTGTTAGTTAAGTTCGAATCCTATCGACGTCATATTTTGGGGGTTTTGGCGGAACTTGACTGCTTCTTTCCGTCGGATACAAGTAAATTGATGGCCCTGTTTGTTAGACTGACGGCCCTCTGAGTAAGTCATTCTGTCAGCCTCCGCAAGAAATCGCCCACAACAGCATTTGGGCTTACCCAGTCAATCAGACCATCGGGGTCACAGCGGCCCCACAATAGTTGCGTAACATCGAAAGACCTCGGATTCGAGCGATTGGAGGCAAAGTAGATATCGTCAGCAAGCAAGGTAATACCCCCGCTGCAATAATAGATACGTACGCGCAGCCAGCATTATTCGAACGTCAAGGCCTCAATTGCCGGCAAAAAGGGCGTTTTTTGCATGGGTTATGGACGGGTGTGGTGGCTGGAGGGCCGTCAATATAACGAACAGGGCCGTCAATTTACCTGTATCCCTTTCTGTCTGTTGATCTGCCATGGCTATCCCACAACGGAGCAGTCTCATCCTGGGAAACGATTATCCTCTACCGTAGTCGTCCTGTTAGGCTTAGCTAACATGATGATGGAGTCCAAGGTTAACCCGGCCTAGGATAGACGTTTCTAAGCGAATCAAGCATAACTTGACAGGGATCGGCCGATTGCACACTACCCTAATAGGCAACGCTGCGGTGCATTCGAGCCGTTTGCTGGCAACGGGACCGGGCACAAGACGGACAAGCATACTCAATTTGATGGACTGGTGTTCTCGGACAGTGACTACGAATACGTTCGCAACCAACACGGACATTTTTGGCTGTTTTTGAATTTGGCCCGGCAATTCTGATGGGCAGGCTTGTCGCGGCATGATTAACCAAAGCATCATGCACGCGCCCAAAGAGGCCCGCAAGCAATCTTCTCACCTCTCCCACCATTCGCGGTCGGCTGCTGGCCATCTGGCCTCATAGCTAGTCCTGCTCTTAAGCAGAAAGGACCTGCTAGAGTCTCCTGCAAACCGCTTGACTAGACTACCCAGTGTATTCTGTAGCAGATCCTTGAACTCATATCTGATGGCGGCACAGAATTACTACCATGCTAACCAATCGATTGCAATGCATATTCAAGCTTACAGCAGTCCACTTTCAGCATTAATTGAATGACCAAACTCTGTATGAATAACGTCACTATACGCATTGTGTATGAGCTCGGGTGGTGTTGCATGGCAGACTAACAATAGAATATTTCAGCTCCCAACTGACTCTTTTGCCAGAACCAAGCGCGAATTTCCTCGCCCAAGACAGATAATAAGGTCAAGGAAGGCCATTACGGTAAAAAAGACCACTTCTCCTATGGGCGCTGTACCACGGGTTTCTAGGTTCGTCCCAGATGCTCGTAGCCCTTAATGCAGGCTGGCGGCCATACTGGCTCTGGGGGCTGCTGGAAGGCGACCTCGAGTATGAATTACTACGAAGAAGTGTCTGTTAAATCCTGTATCTCCCCTAGATTGCTGGATAACGCCGGTCTAGATCTGTAAATACGGACTGAAGACCACATAGAACAGTATGCTACCCAGCTCGCTGCGGCGTGGCATAACGGAGAAGTAGTCCGCCCTAAGACGTCAAAGATTGATCCGACGGCACTTTTACCTCCAAGACGAATGCTAATCGGTCATATTATGTTCCGCTCCATCGGTTTTGAGAAACGGAGCCCTCCGGCCCAGGTTGTAGAAGACACTACGAAAGAGGCCCTCCTCGCTCTATCTAGATAGATGATCTGTCACGATAGCTTCATGTATTTTCACCCTCTGGAACAGCTCTGTCAGGTGCTGTATCACGTGGTGTGTCACACTCGTTTGCCTATATATAGGACTTCCCTTTCTTCACTTTCACTTACATAGAATTAAGCCTTCTAGACCCGAACCCTCATGTGCCCTGCTGTGTGCTCTAACTGGTGACATGATCCTACTCCAACAAGCCAAGCACAGAGTACAGTTATAGATGCTCAAACGTCATAAGTCTTTCGCATACGACCATACCCACTGGAAAACTCGGGATCCCGTCCACTCTCCCTACCCAGGTAGTGCCTACCTACCCAGGTAGGTGGCGACCAGACCACGCGACCCACCATGTACGTATCTTTATACTGCCAGGTGCCTGCCTACCTGCTCCCGCACTGTCTATACCTCTCTGCCTACCTAGGTAGGTACCTAAGTAGGTAGATAGATACCTTGAGGCTGCCTCATATTTTTACCTTCTCAACCTACCTCTATAAGAACTATCCTAGGCTGTCTGCAGACTGATTTCAACTTGATAACTTCATCCTCACAACTTTCCAAGTCACATTCTATGTGCTTCTTACCCGTAAGTTTCTTCTATTCATCCCACACCTCATCCCACACCTCATCCCACACCTCATCCCACACCTCATCCCCCTACTCACCTTACTTTCACACCAGTCGCCATGTCTTCCTCATCTGAAGACCAAGGAGCTCTGTACGACCACGAGTGGATCTATTCACGTGGCAGGCGCCTCACACTAGTTTCCCACCGGCCTCTTGCCCCCTACGGCTCGCATGTCTACCCACTACCAGGAACTAAGACAGACATGGAAAACGAAGGGGAGGAGCTTATGTTGTCCGAGGACGAGAAGGCCATGTCGGTCACTCAACTGGTTTTTGCACCCGGCAACGAGCCCCAGAAAGGCAAAACGTTCCAGAACGACAAGAACGCCGAGATGGAGGTTCAGATTGCCGACATGGTTTGCGGCAGCCCGGGTCTCGGCTACAGCCCCGGTCCCCAGAATCTCAAGTGCTACGTCACCAAGGCACCCACAACCTCTCCGATCAAGGGCTACCAATTGCCTACAAAGGGGCAACTTCTTTTTCTGAAAGTGTTCGATCCCCTCTTTTGGTACAAGGCGCTTGGTTATTCGGAAAGTGAGATGAAGGTGACGAGGCTTGCAGACTCGTCGTTCAGCGACGAGTTTGGAGCCTACCAATTCCTCCACGAAAAAGGGCTTGCTCCTTCGACACTACTGCTTTCACACGCACCGGGTACAGCTCCATCGTGCCAGACTTTTTCGGAGGATGGACTGCAAACGTGACGAGTTTGAACGAGAAGTTCTCTAAGAAATCTCGTCCCGTTGCCGTTCTCACACTCGAATACATTGAAGGCGTGTCAATGAAAGGCCTGTTTACGCCCCTTGGCCCTACTCGGGGAACAGTCAATCTGTATCAGGACCAGCCGTCAACACGAAGGAGCTTCGAAACCGACCAAGACCAACGGATGGAGATCCTCTCACAGCTCTTGCACGGCATCGCTTCGCAAGAAAAGCTTGGCCTCGACAATGCTAGGCTTGACCCTATCAACGTCATTTTGACTGTGAAATACTTGAAAAAACCGATGCAAAAGCCGCGAGCGGTTCTGGTGGGCTATGGAGGGTCGATTGTCGACCATCTGCGGACAGAGCCTGTTGAAATGTGGAAGGACTTCCCGAAAAAGGTTCACCCCTTCACACGATTCTCGTGGGAGGTGCTGGAAGATCTAGGTTTTGTAGGTTGGATCCCAACCGAATGGCGTCCAGACAACGACGACGAAGGCGTTTCCTGTGATCTCGATTTGTGGATGCTCAACAAATTCGGTTCCATCAGGAACATAATTAACACAGAGTACACGACGTGGCCCGAAAAGACACCGGAGGCTGAGGAAGCTAGCACCGGGTCCGAGGAAATTGGCACCGGGTCCGGGGAACAGCCTTAGGGGGGCGATTCCTCCAACTCGGCGACTACCTCACACAACCTCCCGGGAGGGAAGACAACGATCTCTAGCGCCTATGCTCAAGGCGCGACCACGCTCCCCACCGAGGTGGAGGCTGTTGTTGAGCAGTCTGACAAGGATGAAGGAGCTGGAGTTGAGCCCCCAGTCGATCCAGTGGCACAGTCGGAACTGTTGGCCGGAATTTCGGGTGGCCACGAAGACTTCTCTCACCCTGGGCCGGGAGATTTGGAATCGGAGCTCAGCCAAATGGCCGAAAACCTGCACGTCGAGGACAATGACCAGAAGTAGAAGACGGACGGCGTTGAGCCGGCGCTTCATCAGATGGAAGAGGGCCGTCGGATCGGAACTTAATGAAACACGATGGTTTTCGGATCAGACTTCGGAAGGGATCGGCCAAAACACCAGAGGAATGAGGAGACATCAATCGGGGGTATCTACAAACCCTGCAGTACCTGTAATTCATAAACAGCGTAGGTAGTCGAGGTTTTCAAGAGGCTCTTTTTGTCGCTGAACATCTAACTTAAGTGTAGTTGCAGACACATCCGTCCCATTAAGTGATAGGTTAGTAGTTTGCGCCAGCCGTTTCCATTTTGTCCCATCCAGGAAACAAAGCCAGCTCCACCACCCTTCCACATAAGCCAAGATCCCATGTTATATCAAACGTGGCATTATTCTCTGCCAAGACAATATGAAAGGTTAGAAAGGGTGCTTGCCCTTGCCGACTTCCCCCAAAACATTGGCCAAGAGTTGTGACTACACTGTACGATCAAGTCGTCCAGACAACGTGTAACATACTGCATATCAACGTGGATTATGGATTATATAGCACACCGGGTCGACGACAAGCCATTCGAAAACAACACCAGACATGAGAACACTCGCAGGCTGCCGGTAGACCACAAATGGACCGCGGTACCTTGACAAGTATGGCCCAACCCAAAGAGTCCACAGCGCAAAGCCTGCTTTGAAATAGAACGACAGCCGTCCATACAGGTTAGAACCAGGTAGGTGCCTGCCTACCTTGGCCAAATGCGAGCCAATCCAACTATTAAATATTACTAAAATATAGATTTTGTATTTTGTTACCTAAAAAACCTAAATTTATATAAGCGTTATATTTATGTAGTATAAGCGTATAGACTAAAAAAATAAGTTTTAGACACTGCTAATGCAACAGACTGTACCCTTAGGATCTAGGCGCTGGGACGACACATCTGCGTATGCAGATGAGTTGTCGGCAACAGAACTTGAGCCTGAGAGCGCTACAACTCTCGCCCTCCTCCCGGCATTTGGGCCTGCCACGTTCCTGCAGACGGTTCAGCGCATCAGCAGCAGCAACATAGGACTCAGATGGACCATCATTGTCAGCAGCTGCGACGTGGGATTCAGGTAGCCCATTCATGTTTGGTGGAGTGGCGACAACGCCTGTGGCGAGTACGACGATGGACAAAAGTGCAGAAGGCTTCATGACTGCAGTAGAGCAATGGAGAGGAGGGTTGAGGATAGGCAATAAATATTGAATAGTTAAAATGGAGTGATGAATGAATAAATAAGGTAGCTGATAAGAATGTAAGGCTGAGAAAATAGAGAGAAGATAAGACTATATATTTTTGTAAAAAGGGTACTTTGTAAGTATCCTTGATTATGCTTCTAATCTATTAATTTGTAATTAGTTCAAACTAAGAAATATATAAGAATTAGATACAAGCAATATAAAAAAAGGAAAAAAAGGAAAAAGGGGGGGGGAAAAGTTAGTAAAGTATATAGAATAAAAGTTTAACTTTTATTATTAGAACTAATTCTACCTACTATATATATATATATATATATTATAACTACTACTACAAGAATTACTGCTTAAATTACTGCTAGAATTACTGCTTCTACTTTATATTTATAGGTCTTATATATATCTATTCATATATACGCATAGTAAGCTGTGCACCTTAAGCCCCTTACTAATTTCCTAACAGTGTTTTCGCGTGCAGCCCAGCCAGAAACACTCCACTTTTCTGAAGGTGCTCAGCTCACTATGATGCGCAGCTCACTATGCGTGTACGTTATTACAAAAATAGAGCTTTTGTACTGGGCCGTCTTTATGTAGTAATAAACAGAAGAGGAGTCTTCTTAATATCAGACGACCTCTAATAGGTAAGTAGAATAATAGGATAACAGACCTTTTTTAGCTAGTGCGGGTATTCCGCCTAGACTTTCATTATTGCTGTAGGTTAACGTCGCAACCAAATCCAAATTGCCACCGCTATTTCTTTCGGGGACGCGCCCAACAAAATGAATCTAATTAGTCAAAGCACCCACTTTCCGAGCACCCCGACATTGCGATCATGCATCTCCACCCCTAACCACCCAACCCCTTCATATATACTGTAACCACTTTTACAGTTTTCATCCAAATGGCTTCATTTTTTTCACCATCTATTTACTGCCCTATGGCTGGGTATATCGAATCTGAGATCGCTTGGGCAACAGATGCCGTCACTGCTGGCGGCAGTATACGCTAGGCAGCTAGGATCTATGGCATCCCTTTCACCACTCCAGAACCGTCTGTCTGGTTCGCTACAGTTTATGTGGGTAATGACACACGCCTCTTGTGTATTTTATTATACACTCCTAAATTCGGAGGAGCTCAAGTTCCCAGGATGGCAAGAAGAGCAAGCCAAACGAGACCTAGAGCAACATCCGGAGCCTGTCAAGTGTCGGGGGCGACAGCCCAAGTAAGGAGTTCGTAGGAGCCCACGGCCAAAGAACAAGGCCATGACCATTGAAAACACGTGAAGGGTCCTCGTGACAGGAATGCAATCGAGTCTCTCATCTCTACCTCAATAAAAATGGACCGTGTCCAGTGAGCTATACAAACCTCCACGCACCAGACAGGCCTGGGTGGTTCTTTTTTTTCATCATCTTTACATTTTGACTTCAAACCCGCCCTCGCAGATTACTTCTTAGATTTCAACGTTGACTCCCCTATGCCTTGAGGATCTTGGTCAGTTCCGTGACGATGGCATCGCCGACCTCCTGGGTGCCGGCGTTGCCACCAAGGTCCTTTGTCCTTATACCGTTGTCGATGACGGCCTTGACGGCATCTTCGACGGCCTTGGCCTCCTTGGGCAGGTTAAGGGAGTAGCGCAGCATCATGGCGACAGAGAGGACCGTACCAATGGGGTTGACGACGCCCTTGCCGGAGATATCGGGGGCGGAGCCTGCATATCGTTAGCACATTCGGAATGAGATGATGGTAGAGTTTAGGGCCGACGTACCGTGGATGGGCTCGTAGATACCGTTGCACTTGCCCTTGCCGTCGGGAATGCCGCTCAGGCTGGCACTGGGCAGCAGACCGATGCTGCCGGGGATGACACTCGCCTCGTCGGAGATGATGTCACCAAACAGGTTGCTCGTAACAACGACACCGTTCAGCGCGCGGGGGCTCTTGACGAGCAGCATGGCGGCGGAGTCGATGAGCTGGTGCTCGATCTTGAGCTGAGGAAACTCTCGCTCGAACAACTCCGTAATGACCTTGCGCCACAGTCTACTCGTCGCCAGAACGTTGGCCTTGTCCAAGCTCCACACCGTCTTCTCGCCGCGGGCAATGGCAAGGAAGCCCGCCAGGCGGCCAATCCGCTCAACCTCCTCGCGCGAGTACGGCTCGCTGTCCCAGGCCTTGCCGTCGCCCGTGTCCTCCTTGCGCTCGCCAAAGTAGATACCGCCCGTCAATTCCCGGACGATGACCATGTCGGTGCCGCGGCAGACCTCGGCCTTGAGTGGAGAAAAGTCGACGAGGGCCTCGGAGGCGAAACTGCAGGGGCGCAGGTTACCGTAGGTGCCCATCTCCTTGCGAAGCTTGAGAAGGCCCTGCTCCGGGCGGATGGCGCCGGTACCCCATTTCGGGCCGCCGATCGCGCCGAGAAGAACGGCATCGGCTCCGTTGGCGGCGGCGAGGGCTTCGTCAGTGAGAGGGGATCCGGTGGCGTCGATAGAGGCCTGTTCGGGTGTGCTGCCGTCAGTGCGCGCTCCTCAATTGGGTCATCTGTTGGGCGCGGTCGGGTGGATTGCTTGGGACTTACACCGCCGAGGAGGTGATCCTGCAAGTTGAACTTGCCGGCCGAAGGGCTGTTGGCCTCAATTGTCTTTAACACCTAGGAAAGACGAGAAGCAATCAGTCTCATGATGCATGCCTTTCCGTTGACGGCTGAATCCATCGGCGTACCTTGACAGCCTCCGCGACGACCTAGAATAGGGTTTGATTAGCTTTCTTGCCCCCTCATCTCCTTGCGTCTGCCGAGCGAGACTCCTGTCAGGCTCACCTCGGGACCACAGTGGTCGCCAGCAAACACGACAATGTTGTGCGTCGCCATGTTGAATATGATTTGGGAGGGAATGGGCGTTCTTGGGGGAGGCTTCTAAACAAAAAGGGGGTATCTGCGCAATGGGAGAAGGAAGGTTGACGAGGAGAGAAAGTGCGAACAGCGAACAGCGAACACCTTGCACCGATAACCTAAACAGATGAGCGGCGGCCCCGCATCCCACACAAGATTTAAAAAGTGCAGGCCCGGCCTCAACCCCGCCTTCCGAAGTCGGAGGCCTAGGGAGCTGCGAGCTCAGCTTTTGCCCCGCAGCCCCAAACACCCCGCAAAGCTTCGGAGCTTAGTTCGGCTTCTGTCGGCGCCCGGTCGTTCCGGTTTCCACAAATTCGTCTTCTTCCGTCCACCTCATCCGACGACGACCATTACTATGTACGTAGGGTGGATTCGGGCAGAGCGGCACAAGCCAACGACCTGCCGCTGGTGTTACCGGGATTCGTTTTCCGTCCCAAGACAGAACACATCTGCTGAACATTGATCTCATCACAGCTCGTCTTGCCCATCTGACGCTACCTGTGCCATCGTCACTTTACCTCAGAGTGCCTCGGAGCGAATTCTCAGCATCATTTCATTTGTTATTTATCATTAAGCCGCAAGTTTGTACTC